TGATGTATTGTATTGTTTATAAACATTGCAGCACACCTTGTTCTACTCTGAAGTTACAAATTAAAAAATTATGGTATCTACCAGACCAAAAGTGAGGAAATTTCCAATTTAAGAAAAGTTTCACCAGCTGGAGTACGAAGTGAATGCTTTTTTCGTAACAAGATGTCAGAATGACAGGTGACACTGACAATCATGAAGCACAGTAATAAAAAAAATAGTAATGGGAAATCATTAATTTAATACCCTAGGAGATTTTTCCTTCTTATAAACATGAGCAGTTCTTTTGAATTTAATTGTAATGGTTTGTTTAGACGCTACGAATGGAAGTGGAAAATACAAGAATTAGGATTGAAAAGTATAGTTAGATACTTAAATTTAATTCTTTTAGGAGATTTTTCCTTCTTTTAAACTTTAGTCGTTCTTTGGAGTTTTACTGTTTAACGAAGTTTTACCACTAACGCAACTTGCGATGTGAAATTTTAATCCCGATTGAATAATTTAATGAGAAACTATAGTGTTATAATTGAGTTGTTTAACTTTGAAAAATATACCGATTTTTATACATCATCTGATAGAGCTTCGTTTTCTGAGCGCAACTATATTTTTTATCGAGCCCGTAGACATTTATCTCGATTTTTAAATCAAGATTTAAATTTTTGATCGTTGACACTAAATCTATTTGTTGACGGCTCGCTCCCATACAAAGTCCCACCAAGGGGCGCTAAGATGGTGATTTTTGCTAATGGAATCGTATTTCTTTAAAATGGTTGCAGTGTACCAAAATTGTGTAGTGTATCAATACTCATAAAAACCAAATTTAAAGATTTTATCCTTCATGCACTTAAAAAAATATACACGTTACTATTATGTGGCTTACATTTAATTTTGCGCAAACACATGCATTTCTGAGCACTACAAAGCTACTTGTGACATATTTAGATGTTATGTGTCTCACTTATTGATATTAACAGTCTCACTCACTACCGTAAAATGATCTATTCTTGAAATTATACTGTGAATCATAACTAATTTGAGTGCCTTACATTTAGGTATGAAATGTAATGTATTTTGAAAGAAAGTTTAATTTCCAACGTTTATTTTCTTATTATGAAAGTAGATAATCATAGTAGATAGATCGGATTTTAATGATTTTGGGGGAAGTATGTTAGAAATAACATACTCTACCTACTTATTTTCCAGCCGACATATAGTCGATTGCGATAGAATTGATCTAAACTCATACCAAAAACGGCAAATAAATCCTGATGGATAAAGAAATGAGCGTTTACAAAATCAAACAACAATTCATTTTAAGCATTTCCTGGAATATGTCACGAAAATCATAGCTCTCAGAATATCCTCGGAAACCGATTTATCCGTACATCAATCGACTAATCCACCAACACTGGAAACAAACTGAAAATAAATCAATGAACATACCTTTTCCACTAAAAACCCATACCTTACAACACTCCTGGATATATTGGCTGCAAACGTCTTGCCACGGGTTCAAAATTTAACATTTACCAATAGTTGTAGACATTTGGATTCAGATCCAAACCAGGGTTTTTATCTTGCTTATCTTTATCTTGAAGCTGATTGTATTATTGTTTTGTTGTTATACTTTTGTATTGTTGTTTACTTTTGCTAAGCAAGCATCCTCTTGAAATGCAAAACACTTCGAATTTGTATGTTTTTCAACAATGTAGCGCAGATTCATGAATATTTTAATTGAATGTAGCGTGCAATGCACTTGAATTTATTATGTGGGATCTTTCATCATTCCATAGTTAGAAACACGAGAATTAAGTTGAAGCACATTGAATCAATGTGGAAAATGCATGCAATCATTGTGATTGATCAATCAAACAGGCAAGTGTTAAAACACATTAATCTGACGTACACATAATTTGAGTGTGTAATTACAGATCTTTTACTTATGAGAAGTTCTTTTGCAATTAATCAGTATTCGGCCAAACGGCATTCGGCCAATTGACATACGACCAAATTAAAGATTCGGTCAAATGCCCCGAAACCTTTTAGAACAAAATTCAATTAGTGTACACTTGAGCTAAAAACGACTAAACACTGTCTAAAACTGTCCACGTGGTTTGTGAAAAACCCCTTAGTTCACGTTAAAAGTATGTAGTGTTAAATTTATTATATATTGTATTTTGTAGTCACTTTAACATATTTTTGTCCGTACCACAATTTTCTTATGCTGTGTAGTTCCTAAAAATTTTTGAAACAATTTTTAAACTAAAAAAAGCCTTCAAGTTCAAATTAAATTTGTCACGCAATATCGCACAGCAGATCATAGAATTTCTAGTCGATTTGAATTTAATTCTTGTAGTGTATTGTCTTAAACAGAAGCTATACAGTTTCTACAGCAATTTGCAATATTATTGAAATGTATTTTTTGTTTAATTCTTCAAAGTTCAGTTTACGATATTCTTGGAGTAGATTATGGACATTTTTGATTTTAATTAAGTTTATTAAACTCGCACTGATTTTAAAACATGCAGTGCTAACATAAGCTTCCGATAAATTCGATGATTTCACTCAGCATCCAATTGTGAGGCCTCCAAACGAAAATTTTAAACCACAGCCATGACTGGCACACTTACGGATAATCATAAAACAACACTCTCCACAAATTCCCTATGTGCTTCGTAACAGATGAATTGATTCTGCACAAGGAATGCCACCCCAGCTCTGCTAGTAGATTTGGAGAAAGTCTTGGCTCGCGGCTTTAATAGGCTATAACCATTATTATTGCGCGAAAATCTTACCACACACGTGCACACCGCACCATCTATTAGCGAAAATCGCCCGAAGCAGTTTAAATTTATTGCATCCGCGTAGCGCGTTTGTTGTCACTTTTATGCCTTTCAGCGCTCGCCGCAAATGGCTCAAAGTGTGACGATAATTGAATATATATGTTACAGTATAGATTTCAGCGTAAGCGCGCGAATTTGCAACCATCTCCGCCGAGTTGAGTCTCCTTAGTTTGAGGAAAACCAAGAGAAAAAGGTAGCAAATCACGAAGTCGATAGATAAATCTTCATTAAAATGGGAATTGGAAACGACGACGGTGAAATGGCAAGCTTTCGTTGAATGGCTGTGACCAAAAGGACGCGTGAGAAAATCACATCGTGCACCGATAATTTCTGCGCGATCGATGCGCGCTTTTCACAAAGTGCTACTGCTATTGAACTTATCCACGGCCGGTGGACGTTGTTTGCCAGTCGAGACCATCATCATCGCAAGTCACTTTGTGAGAGAGAGGCAGAGAGAAAGAGATCGTGTCGATGAAAGTGAACGTTTAGAAAATTTTGCAATTATGGAATTGATTAATTTTAACGCGACTTTCCTTCCCTTAACGGCTTAACCGGAGGCAGTGGGTTGTCACTTTAAATTAAATTTATGTTTGTTGAAGTCTGCTGAGGCGTCTCAAGATGGGAGGGCTGCACGGATGGTGTGAACATAAATCTAATTAACTGGGCTGGGACTTGGCCGTAAAAGATAGATTTGCAATCAGATATGGAGTATTGATTATTCGTGGCTGGAAAACACACCTGTGACGAAGGAAAATTTCTCTTCTAAACCAACTTTAAAAAATTATCTCTAGACACTCCGTTGTTCCGAAAGGGAATTGATAATCAAACCTTCAGCATGATTTTCTTTTCGTGTTGTAAATATAAGTAGTTGTATTTAAATGATACATAAACTGTCAAATGGACAACGAAAAACAAAACATATTGGTTTACAGACTAGAACAACAGTAAAGCGTACATAAACAATAAATGTAATGAATGCGATAATTTTTAAATGGCTCACAATAAACGTAACAGTTATTAAAATTGCTTCAATTATAGTTATAACTTGTACTGGCCGCAGTCGATACATTTATCAGAAAACGAAATCGAAAATGGAAAAAAATTACGATAATCATTGAGGCATGCAAATTGAATAACCTGAGATTATCTGCGTTCCCATTTTGCACCACTGCGAAAAGCAGAGCAAAAGCGAGCAAACAAAATAACGAAACCTGACCTCACATAGGGTTTTTGATCTAATTTCCGTCCTACTAAGGACATCGCGCACTTTACCACGCTTTTTGGAAAGGGTTTGAACAAAACATGGAATGTTTTCATCAAAGATAACTTCTAAATTTATCCACCTTTCCATACGTACCGTTGGATTTGATAAAGAGTCAAACAATGTTGAGATATTATCAAAAATCTAACACTGCTTCTTGCTTCTAAATTCGTCCTACGCGTTTCAATTCCGTCCAAACGCATTGAAACGCCATTAGATTTCCTTCGTCCTACGGATAAACGGAGAAAAAGAGGATGCGCTAGGAGCGCTTCTTTTGTTTTGAGAACAATGAGCGTAAATATGCATACAATGCGCTCTAACAGGATTTATGTTGTAGCTAATGAACTAACGCATCGGAACAAACGTATTATTGTTTTGTGCATTGTGAAATCATTGAAATTATTGATGGTTTCTGCTCGATAGAACGGAAATGGGCGATTACGACGAAGTAGCGCTCTTCCCTATTTGGTGTATAATGCAATTCTAATGCAAACGTAAGCAGTCCAATGATAATCTAATAAGAAGCATCATGGTGGACGTAAATCTTGGTCACGTTAAAAAAATGTTGGCGTTAAAGGCGGCGCTGTAACGCTTTAGAGGGTATACATTAATTACGTAAGCCCCATTTTATGACCTAGTAATAATTTAGCAAAACCTCCCCTCTCCCTCTTTGTAACATAATAATTTAATGGTCGAATATTACCTGCTCATGCCTCCCGTGTAAGAACATTTTTTAAACCCCTCCCAGCCCTAACTGCTTACATAATTATTGAATGACCCCTACTTCTCCTAAAGTGAAATCAATAAATCTTGGCTAGAGAAAAAGACGATTTTCGACGGTGCCGTCAACTCTAATTTCATGCTACTGATAAGATACGCCCGCTTGTGAAGTAAAGGGGCGTTCCAAAAATTCCGCCCAGGCAGCGCACTGTTCGAAAGCGGCTACCCCGAGCGGGGGTGTTTTGATTCCGTCAAAGACGAAACGCATCAAATGGGTGCCAGCATCAATATCCTCACTATACGTTCATTGGATATTATGCTCCCCATGACAAGGAGGAACGAGACAGAGAAGCGCTACGACTAACGTAAACTCCCGAACGAGGAACGCTAGCGATGTGCATCTGTGTGCGCTCACAACGGAATGAAAAAGAAACGGGATAGAATAGCGCGCGAATTTGCTTGGCGCTGCTTTCATTTGTGAGCTTTTAAAGGTAGTGGAAGCACGTGGCTCAACGGTTGCTTTTTTCAGTAGGCAGTTCTAGTTGGATGTTTTCGTCTGTAAGGTTTGTAAATTATTGAATTCAATATCTAGGTATGTTAAAGCAGCGGAGAGTTTAGAGTGTCTCATCAATTGACTTTCTCAATAAATAATTATACCATTAGAGTTTATGTATCACTCAAAAAATAAACTTATGGTACTCCTTAAGTGTTAATTAGAACATGAACGGTAATTGGTAAACTAATGATACTTTGATAGTACAACGTATTTTTAAATGATTATAAAAAAAACTACTAAACATATTTAAATATTTGGTTGAAAAAATAAAATAAATACAATTACAGGGTGAGGCAGAGTAAAGGGTGTATTTGATAAAAATAACCCACACATAAGCAGCTGTAACTTTTTAACTATTATTCAAAATATCTTTGAATTTTCAAAAAGTTTCTGTAGAGAGTAGCAGGCTCAACGGTGCCGGTGGTGTAGTGGTAAGCGTGATTACCTCTCACCCCAGCAGGCCTGGGTTCAATCCCAGTCGGCGCCGCCGGGATGTTCTGAGGCACAACATCTCTGATCACGCCTTCCTTCGGATGGGAAGTAAAGCCGTTGGTCCCCGGTTCATGAGTTGATGGGTCGATAGGTAGGGTCCAGGTGTGGGAGCTGCCTTCCTGGCGTCGGTAGCATTGGTGCTCAGCACGGAAAACAAGATCGACGGAAAACAAACCAAAGGAAAAAAAAAAAAGTAGCAAGCTTGCTCTCACTCACTTGCAATAAAAACATGATTTTCTGAATTTTGAAATCATTAGATGTTATAATCATATTTTGTACTTGTTAGATACAAGAAGAGGTTGAAAGGCAAGTGTTTGACACATGAAACCTGTCAAATTTGCTTTCAGATAGTCACAATCAGCGATTTTACGACTCGCGAGCGCTCACTCTGAGTGAACGCTCATGAATCATAAGATCGCTGATTGTAACACTCTGGTAGCGAAATTGATAGATTTTATTAGTCAAACACTTGCCTTTCAACCTCTTCTTGTATCTAACACGTAAAAATATCATTATAACATCTAATGATTTCAACATTTAGGAAAGCATTTTTTTATAGCAAGTGACTGGACGCAACCCTGGAGAGTAGTGATCAAGTAAAACATATTTCATGATTCAAATACGAGCTTTGACTTGGGATTTAATCAAGAAGACAAAACGTTGTCATAACAAATTTGTACAGTGGCAAAAAACTGCATTTAGCTAATCTTTACTTATTTTTTTCCGTTCCTTGTTCACTTTATTAACGGATTATTAATCATTCAAGTATGTTAGAAAGCACTGTAAAAAGATTGATTTTTTGTTTTGAATTGCCATTTAGATGTAAAGTTGGTCAAGTACTCACAATCTGCTAGTGTTGGTGAGTTATTTCCCGTTAATGTTCTTGAAAAGATTTGGTTGTTCGACTGGTTTTATGGAGATTTCGTTTTTATGGCTTTCTCAGTCTGGGGTAATTCAAACAGTTAGTTTTGCAATGCAAAACTAACTGTTTGAATTACCCTAGACTGAGAAAGCCATAAAAACGAAAGTTCTTGAAAAGTTCACTATTTTGCCATAAAAGGTGCCAAAACGAATAAAGTTTACGGGTGGATTTGGATAGATTTGGACCTTTTTTATGTGACCAGAACGTTTATTGTGGTCACAAATGCCTTGAAAACTTGATTTCCTACGCAAGTGACGTGAATTTCGCGCCTAAACACGAGGAGGATTAATTATAGCAAAACTTGCCATATACAATCGTCATAGTTCATTTTAGTAATCAAACTAAATTTTTTTCGGTCTGTGACATCTTTGTTTATTCGCCTAGGGTGTGAGTCGTCTGTTCGTGAGCGACTGAATGTTTTTGTTGGCTCTTTAATTGCATCGTCATTTATCTTTTGATACATATCTCGCGTAACTTTTCAAAAGGTCCTAAGTAACAAATGTAAACAAATCGGGTTGATCGATACGAACTAATGCTCTTGTATCATTGTATGTGATAAAAAAACATCCATCCAAATTTACTTTTAGATATTTAAGATAGTCATAGGTCGAAAATTGTCCAATGTACAGTTTGGAATGATAGGTACCTGATTGTTACTTCGGACATTTAGTCTGCCTCATTTGCTAAACGCGGGGCATGGAAAAGCAACCCAAGGTTATAAGTAAGTGTACCAGTCATTTTTCCGATGTTAGGTACTCTATTCTGAAATCTGTGAAAGGGAATCATGTAGAACAAAACGTCCAATGTAACACACATTGATTATGTCATTGAGAAAAATCGTCCTATGTAACATGTCCGATTTACAAATTGACTAGTCAACTCGTCCTTTGTGATTTTTTTTCTATTTTGTAGCATGACATTCAACGTTAAATTGTGATTTTACCGTTTCTACTGAATGTTTATAGTTATTATACACTGACTACGGTAAAAATAGTATTGTAAAATGTATTATTTCTAAACAGTTAAATAATAATCTGTCGAATCAACTTCGATTTTCTCAAAGTGTCGGATATGTTACATTGCTCCTTTTGAAAATTTACGCAAGATATGCCAGAATAGAGCCGTGTTTTCACAAGCGTTGCCAGAATGTTTTAAAGTTTATCGGTATCAAAGGTTTTAAAAAGTCGGTATTTATCGGCATTTCCTATTTGAATTAATTTTATATTTTTGCCGTTTTTGAAAGCGAAAATTTTAACTTTTGGACTATGATCGGAAAATTCGGGAAGAAAACTACGGGGAATGCTTGAATTAGCTTCTGGAGGAAGCTGAAAACAACATCCAGAGAAAGAAGAAAGAAGCTCTCCTGGAGGAAATTTGAGGAAAGTTCTGAGAGAAGTCGGGAAAACATCCACGGAACTTCCAAGACATAAATTGAGAAACTTCTGGCGAAAATTTAAAGAAACTTTCAGAAAAAAAAATCTGATTTCACATTCAAACGAAAACAGAAAAGTTTTGGGAATCGGAAATAAATTCCAGAAGTAGCCATTTCCAGGAGAAACCAGAAGAAACTTGGAAAAAGCTTCCAAAAAAAGTAAACAAAGTAACTGGACAAAATTCCAGAACTAGACGAATGAAATTTCTGGGAGAACTTCCTGGAGAAGACGGAAGAAACTTCCTAAGGTAGATTGGAAAAAAAAATTCTGGAGAAAGGCGGAATCCAGAGTGCTTACGGAACAGTCGAAAGAAACAAGGACATCATTCCGGAAGAAAAAGCTCTTGGGGAATGTTCTAATGATCCAGAAAATTTTCCAAATGGTTATAAAACATCCCGCAATGTCCCTGAAGTTTTTGGAACATTCCTGAAATGTACTTAGGAATATTCCATATTTCCTCGGGATGTTTTGGAGTACTCTGATCATCTTTGAAATACTTGGAACTTCCCTGATTATAATGAGACTACCGGAATATCTCTAATCAACTTTGAAGGTCTCTATACTTTCTTGAAGATTACGAAATTTCTTAAGCGCTCTCACAATTTTCTTGAATTTATTGTAACATCAGCTTTGAAGTTCTCTGATCTTACCGATTTTTCTAATTTTTAAAAGTGATCGACACTGCCATTAATAAGCACGAAACTTCCCATTAAATGTTCTCAAAATGTGCTAATGTCCGTGTAACTTCCCTTACGTTTCTTAAATTTGCATGAGCTGCTCGGAAGTTTTCGGAAATTGCCTGAGTTTCTCAGAACTCCTTTAAAATTTACGATTTCCTTGAAAACCATTAAATTTTCCAGAAGTTCTTTGGACTTGTGAAGTTTCCAAAATATTTATGATGTTTCGTTAAGTTCACTTGTGTTCGCTGGACCGGGTTTTAGAATTTTAACAGAAGTTGTTAAAACATTCTTTAATTTATCGAAACTTACTCAAAAGTCTGGACTTTTCTGAAGTTTCCGCAGTGGATCCGCAATCAAAATCTAGAAGCATCCCTGAAGTTTCGGGAAGAATCATTCGAGCGAAGGCTGAAGAAGCTTTCAAGGGAAGTCGAAATAAGTTTCCAGAGGAAAGTTGGAAGAAAATCCAGAAAGTTAAATAATGTTTAAAACGTATTTCCCGATTCCTCCGGAATTACCAGAAAGAGCCATCGACTGTTTATCGATTCACGGAATGCAAAAACGTTGAGGAAATTGAAACATTTTTTGAAAGATCCATACGACATTTTTTGAGGATGATTTTTTTAGAATTTTAAAGACTCAAAAAATTTGAGGTATTCAAAAAGATACAAGTCTCACACAATAATTTTCTCCGAAATTCTTAGCGCGGGCAGGCAATAATCATTTTGATTATTTATAAAAAAAATCGGTATAAATCGGTATAACACCTCAAAAATCGGTATTCTGATGAACCTTATCGGTAAATCGGTATCTAGTTCGGAAATCGGTATAAATACCGATAAATCGGTATAAATACCGATAAATCGGTATAAATACCGATAAATCGGTATATCTGGCAACGCTGGTTTTCACACTCAGCCTAAGCAGTCAATAATTTTACGCTCTGTCCCAGACATCATATTTTGGAGTTCGGCAATAGCTTGGTCTTACAGTCAAACTTAGGAGTAAATACTGGATTCAAATAACTTGAAAATTTTGGGCCAGATCTTTTCTACACACTACGAAAAATTTAATTTCAAAATTTTAACGGTAATTTTGGGGGTCTGAGATTGCCAACGATCTGCCACATATCTGTTAACATGGCGGCCATTTTTGGACTCTTCAAGGAATCAACTTAACCAACTTGGATGAAACTGGTAGCAAATTGATAGCATGCTCATTAAACTGATGCAAAATTTTAAATTGTTGCTCCCTAGTGC